GGACAGGGCAGCATGCAGAGCCACCTGGCTGCACCTCCGTGTAGGAGCCGGAGGGGGGACATGCCGCTGCTTCTGGGAGCCACTTGAGGTAGGTGCCGCCCGGAGCCTGCACCCCTGACGCCCTCCTGCACCCCAACTCCCTGCTGCTACCCTGATCCCCCTCCCACCCTCCAAACCCCTCAGTCCCAGCCCGGAGCACCCTGCTTCATCCCCAACCCCTCATCCCCAGCCCCACCCCAGAGCCCTCACCCCCAGCCGGAGCCCTCACTCCCCACCCCCGCACCACAACCCCTTGCCCCAGCCCAGAGGCCCCACCTGCTGAGGATTATAAAGAAGAGCACTTAGCTCAGTCAGGGGCAGCCTAGAGTAAGGAGAGGCCTGCAGGGGAGGCTTTCCTATGTTAGAACCAGGATGATGGTAGGCTGAGGAAACCTACCTGGAGTCAAGCACTGCCGCAGCAGGGAGGGTTGTGTATATCCGGCTTGAAAGGCAAGAGCAGTTTGAGCCCAGAGACCAAGGCTAGGAAAAGACTTGGGGGGAGGTCTCTACAAAGAGGCCTGGGGACTGGAGAGGCAAAAGAAGGGGAGTACAGCTAAGCTTCCTGCTCATGTAACCAAGGATACTTGTATACACAATCTTTATGTGTTATCCACAGATACTGTGAGGGAACATCAGGGCAGAGGAGGCTGTGGGACTAGGGAGCAGTTGGTATATACACCATGATCCCCTGAGAAAGGCAGTTAAACTCCAATGCTGCCATTCCAACCTCCAAATGAAGAGAATAAGAGCGTGCACAGGGGCGGCTCTATGTATTTTGCCGCCCCAAGCACGGCAGTGAGGCAGCCTTTGATGGCATGCCTGCGGGAGGTCTGCTGGTAATGGGGATTCGGCGGCATGCCTGTGGGAGGTCTGCCGGTCCCGTGCCTTCGGTGTACCCGCCGCCGAATTGCCACCAAAGCTGCGGGACTGGCGGTCCTCCTTCTGGCATGCCGCCGAAGGCAGCCTGACTGCTGCCCTATACGATGACTGGTAGGCCACTCTCCCGTGGCTTACCGCTCCAGGCATGCGCTTGCTACGCTGGTGCCTGGAGCTGCCCTTGAGCATGCAGCTGTAGTCAAGAGCCAATGACAGCACAGTTCAGATTCTGATTGTGCTGCTGGCGGCCAGATACTGGAAAGTATTCAGAAGCATTTCATAGCCTTATGCCCAGTGTCCAGAGAGCCACTATGTGATCATGTGGAATTTATAAATTCTGTAGGACCAGAAGGCTTGTATCATGAGACGCTCTTTCGGTTCCTGTGGAACATTTAAACTCCACTAGCAACTTAGACCTGGCGGGTCTCTCTGATCCTTTAGAATTGCTAAGACCTGAGTCAGTCCCACCAGGGAGCCTGTGAAATTTAAATGCTTTGCAAGTGACCCTGTGGGCTCCTCAAATATTTGTACATAATATCTCCAAATGGAATTATCTAGCTTTTAAAATACACCCACAAAGACTCTAGGCCTCACTGTGGAAAAACTAATTAAACTAATGTGAAGTCTACGGATGGAGGCATTTTTATAACATGATGTTCCAAATAAAGGTTAGAAAATAAAACAAACATTCATTTTCTGTCAGGAGACCACACAAGAAAAATGTAGCTGCAGAAAGTGTTTGCTTGGAGGAAGTTAGAAGAACGCGTGTCCAAAATCAAGCTTGGTATGGAAAGCCAGTGTCTATGGTATGTAACTATAAAATTGTGCACTTTTGATGTTTAAAGATACAGCATGAAATTCTGAAACAATATTATAAAGTGAAAGAGTCTGGATTGCATGCTACATGTGAGACAGAGATATGAATGGATTTCCTGTCCTTTGTATGACTTGTCAGTGAAATCTCCCATAAAAGTGTTAGTCAATTACAGTTGTGCATTGTTAAGAGTCATTGTTTCCACGTGCTCTTTTTTATTCATGATTATAAAAGCATTTATAGCTTTCTAAGCTACACTGGTTTTGTCAGATAGTTCATGCCTTCCAATTATGTGTTCTTTTTATTAACTGCTTTTGTGGCCAAAAGGTAATTAACTCTGAACTATTGACTAACCATTGGTTCCAAGAGTCCCTGAAAGGGCGTTGTTGTTTATTTCTAGGGATGGACCCAAAGCAAAATCACAGCTTCAAGCACCCTTGTAAAACATCAGCTGGATAAGTCACGTGTCATTGTCAGTAGAAATCCTGACTGAGTGTCTGTCCTGTGGCCTGTGATATGCCTGGAAGAGCAGCACATCTGTGGTCCTTTATCCTGTTAAATCATCCCACTTTTCTAGCAAATTCAGCCCTTTATTTACTAGGGACTGATCCAGGGCCCACTAAGGACAAGAAGAGTCTTTCTGTTGACTTCAGTGGACATTGGATGAGGTGTTTAGCATGCTTTCTCTGCCATGGAGGCATAGACACAGTGGATCACCTGAGGGCCTGATCCTGAGGGATGCTGAGTCCCTGCAGCTCCCATTGACTGCAGCACCTCTCAGGATCAGGTTCCTAATGAACAGGCATAATAAATAAATAATAAATGTGCTTTTAAATGTGTTGGACCTAATATTATGGAGAGCCCCCCTTGAAACTGATTACTCTTCCGGATGATCTGGGTCCTGCCATTTTGTGGATTGACCTGCTCAGAGGATCACTTTCAACAGGTACTCCCCTGATTTAGGTGATTTCCTTAAAGTAACCCCAAGGTTTTTGGAACAATTTCCTTTCCTTTTTTGTTAAAGATGAAATTCTCTCAGGCAACTGATTTTTGCTTGTTCTTTGGATGGTTGCTTAAGAGATGTCCCACTGTACTGAGAGATACTTGATACCAAGAATGGCTGGAGATTGTTGGGATGATACAGAGAAGAATGAAAGGACATATTTAAAAGGAAAGCAAAGGTAAAACTGTTTCACTAACATGAAGAAGCAGCTGAGCTGAGAGACACAAAAGAATGGGTGATACAAGCAGAAAGCAGTTAGAGGTATTGGGGGATTATGGGGAAGGAACTTGTAGAAAGCTTATGAGGATGGTGTGAGATGAGACAATAAATATAAACATACAAGGCTGCATTGCACCTTGGGCTCTGTGCTTATGCGGGGATTAAAATAAAACTTAGCAACCCTGTGCAGGCTACCTGTAGCATGGGTCTGGGCATGCAATGGAAGTGGACACTGGGGGCCCAGTACTCTCTCGCTGTTGGAGGGGATGGGTGCGGAGGGATGGGGATAGGGTGGAGTTCCTCTCCCACAACCAATGGAGGCCAGCATACAGGGTATCATAATTTCCCCACTTAGCTAGAAGGGATCTAACTGTTGGTGTTTATAGGGTTGGGAGCCATGGAAGGCCAGGGCAATCTAAGTGGCTGCCCTGTACCCACACTTTGGCTCTGTCCTCTGGAATTCCTCCAACCACCTTAGTTTCCTGCCTGCAGAGAGCCATTGAATCCAAAATTCCAGGCAGTTCTTCTGCCCTCCCTGTCTCATGGGTGCTGGAAGGACTGCAAAAGGGGTGTGTGTGGAGGGGAGAAAGCAAACAAAACTGGCCAAATTTGAGTGGCATTGTGAACCCAAGCATCAGGTGCCAGCAGGAGGGGGATCTGCCCTCATGCCACCCAATTCTGCTCAGGGGCAAAGGTGGGAGAAGTTTGAGGCCCTTGTTTCCCCCTGTCCTTGTTGCATCCCTGCCAAGTTCAGGGTTCTGAAAAGTGGAAGGCATGGCCTCCCCATTTAAAAATGGTGGTGGGGAAATGGCCGTTCAGACGCCCCATCTCTGGCACCCATTCTCAGTCTCCCTGGGGGATCAGAGGCAAAGCTATTACAGACTCCCAGGGCTGGAAGAGGGATGATATATATCCCCTTCGGTCCCGCCTCCAGCTCATCTGCTTCTCCCCCAGCCTATGCAAACTCTCTCTTCTCCCCTATCTTTGAGCAGACCCCTGGCCACCGAGGAGGGCTCCTTAAAGACTGGGAATGGACAAAGAAGGGTTCCCTCTGTACACAGGAGAGGAGATCCAAATGCAGAAATAGGGTGTGTATGATACAGTCCGCTAATAACAACAATTCAATAATGCAAAAACACACAAACAAATGTAAATTTCTTAGTGGGGACCATCTGAGGTTAGATTTTCTGATTGCAAATTCCTAAATACCCTGTTTCTTTCCAAAACTATACTTTGCTAATAAATAGAAAATAAAACTTTATAATGGTTGCATGAGAAAGCTGACATTTTAAGATGGCCCTAAAGCTGCAGGCGATTTGAAGTTAGAGAGCACTTTTGCTTTGCAGTGACTGTGCATTACTGCTGAAAATTGCCATGTTAATATTTAAACCTGAACTTTTGACTCTTGTGGTACATAACAGTATAACTGTTTGTTTTACCTGTGTTATGTAAGTGATACAATGCTTGTCTGGTCTGAATTCATGGTGAATTCATAGCTCAGATATGCCACCTATAAACATATTGTACCAAGGAGATGCAGTTAGATTGGGAGTTGAGATCTTTGACACGAAAAATACAGGCCTTTCTCTGGAAAGTTAGAGGAGCTCTAGTTCAGATCAAATTTTTATACATGGACAAACCACTCTGTCATATTCAGGATGAGGGGACAGAACATATTCTCTGTCACACAGAAACATAAACCTACACACACACACACACACACACACACACACACCACTTCATCTCTAACCTCATTGAACATACTGTTTGGAGTACCTCTCCTCCAGTTCCATCCTAAACCGGCTCCAATCCAGCTTCTTGTCCTTGCACTCCACTGAACTGCTTGCACCAAAGTCTCTAATGACCTCAGCCAAAGCTCAGAACTAGTGTTCTATGCTCATCCTCCTTCAGCTCTTCTTGAAATCTTGTCCTCCATTGGCTTCTAGGACTCTGTCCTCTCCTAATTCTTCTCTAATTGCTCCCTCTGCATGTCCTTCAGAGGTTCCTGCTCATTCCCTCTCCAACTTTCTGTATGGGTTCCTGAGGTCTCTAGCCTTGGTCCTCTTCTCTTCTGTTTCTACACTTTCTCTCTAGGTAATCTCATCAGCAAACAAAAATTCAACTACCACTCCTGTGCTGACAACTCACAGATTTACCTCTTGACTCCAGATCTATCTCCTTCTGTCCAAACTAAAATATCAGATTGTGTCTCTGATATCTCCTTGTGGATGTCTAGCCATCAGGTCAAGTTCAACATGGCTAAAACAGAGCTCTTAATCTTCTCCCCTAGCTCTCCCCAGTCCTCCTTTCTCAATCACTGTGGACAGTGCCACCATCCTGCCTGTCACTCAGGCCTGTAATTTGGGCAATATCTTTGACTCAGAACTCTCTCTAGGTCCTCACATCCAGGCTATGTCTAAGTCTTGCAGTCTTTCTGCATAGCATCTCTAAGATAAGGCCTTTATTTTGTCCGAGTTCTCATCATCTCTCATTTTGATTGTTGCTATATTCTTCTCTCCCTGGCCTTGATGAAAGCAAACTTACCCTGCTCATATCCATTCAGAGTGCTGCTGCAAAGATCCTTTTCCTTCTCCATCGTGCTGACCATTCCAGCCCTCTTTTTGTATCCCTGCTCTACTCCCCCTTCTCTATCATATCAAACATAAGTTACTTGTCCTCACCTTCAAGACCTTTCCCAGGCTATGTTAAATTTTCAAGTGGGCACCTTCATGCTTTCTTCCATGTTCCCCTTCACACTTGGGAGTAGCTCCCTGTAAACATCTGCAAAACTATCTTATTATCCTCCTTCAAATCCCTCCTTAAAACTCTCTTTTGCCTTGATGCCTACAAAAAACTTGACAGTGGCTAGGCTGCTGGTGCACTGAGACCACAGACTATCATGCTGACCAATATTGTCTTGTTGTTTTGTTGTACTTCCCCATTGGCCTGAATGTATTAATCTGTGGTCTCTTGACTTGTACTTAGACTGTACGCTCTTTGGGGCAGAAACTGTCTTTGTTCCGTGTTTGTACAGCAGCTAGTACAATGGGGTGCTTGGTCCTAGGCACTACAATAATGAAGATGATGATGATTGATGATGTTACTACCATTTCTACTGCTAACACGAGAAGCACTCCAGCTGTGTAATCTTCCAGGGAACAAAAGATAGCTGTTACTAACTTTAGACGATCAACTATGTTTTCTACACCTGTCCCATCCACAACTAGGACCTTTCTAAACCATCTCCCTCTCTTCCTTCAGTCTGTGCGGCCCTTAGACCTTTTCTGCCTGTGTGCTGGCCAAGAAGTGCACAGACACAGGGGCACAATGATTGTCCCTTAATAATCTGTTTTATAGCTTCTGCCAAATGCATAACAGTGGTCCATGGGAAATCAATAAAATCATTCATTTATAGGTGTGTTTTGCCCAGGGACCATTTCGGGGTGGAGCAAGTGGGGACAGGGTTTAAAACCGGGAATGTAACAACAAAGCAAGAGGGGATATCGGTGAGGACAGTAGGAGTCCATTGTAACTTACCAGCCTTGGATTCTGATTCCTGTTGTGGTCCTCCTCAAGGAGGCATCCTCAACCTATTCCTCCGGGCAAAGGTGCAGAGTTACATACTCTTCACCCTCTGAGTCTTCTGGGGCATCCTTCCTGGCCCCTGCTGCTTCCTTGCTCTGGCCCTCATAAGCATCCCATTGGACAATAAGGCCAGTGGGGTTGTGAGGAGGGGGTTGTGAGTCACTTCAGGCTCTGTACTGGGAGCCCTGGACAGCACCCAGACCAGCTTGTCACAGAAGGGGCATGTATGATGAGTCCTCCCAGAATGACTGTCTGAGTGTTTTGCCTTCCTGTACAGGGGCCTCAGGTGCTTGATGGATTCCCGGCACTGGGGTGGAGTCCGCTCAATACCCACCAGCTCCAGCCTTCCTGGTACAGGCGAATATTCCTGCTGCTTCAGGCACAGCTGTGGAGGACAGTGTACTCCAACAACACACTGATCAGCACCCGGGTGTGGTCAGCGTGCCAGGTGGCTGCTCTCGGAGCAGGAGCCGTGTTCACCTGTATTGATCAAAAGAGTGCAGCAGAAAACTGTTCTGAAGTGCTTAGTGCTGCTTGCTACTAGTGATGAGAATGGGGGAACCGGCACCTTTATAGACTGGGTAAGGCTCAGGCAGAAAAGGGTTCATTGCACTTTGGGAATGAGGATGGAGGTCTATTGAAACTTGAGCCCTTGCTCTTACTCCCATCCACACTGCACATCGCCATGGGTAGGGGGCCATGCCTGAGACAGGAACCTACTCACACATCCTAGGTGTGCTAGTTTAATCACCCTGTACTCGCTTTCAGACACGTGATTCTGGAGGTTAGACGTAGACAATAGAGGGGTTATGGCACAATAATGTGCTTGGGCATGTGTACAATCAACCTTAAGGGCTCATTGACACATAAAATGCTACAGAGGCACAGCTGTGCCACTGTAGCGCTTCAGTGAAGACACTGCCTATGCTAACGGAAGGAGTTCTCCCATCAGCGTAGGCAGTTCACCTCCCTGAGAGATGGTAACTAGGTCAGCGGAGGAATTCTTCCGTCAGCTCAGCGCTGTCTAGACGGGGACTGGTTGGCTTAACTACCCTGCTCAGAGGTGTGGATTTTTTACACCCCTAAGTGATGTAGTTATGCCATCCTCATTTTTTAGTGTAGACCAGGCCTCAGTCTAATGTCCAATTTATCAATGTGATATACCTTTCTGTAAATATCTCTACTTATATTGTCTTTTCTAATTATAGTTTATAGACCCACCGTAGCTTATTAAGTGATAGTAGTTTGATTAGAGGATCAATGTCCCTTTAGTTATATTTGCAGTATGCTGTTCTGCTATAGCTTCATTCCATAGTTAAACATTACCCGAGGTAGCTCTGTGATAATATATTAATGACACAATAACACTTTGTACTTCTATAGCACCTTCCATCCAAGGATCTCAAAGGACTTTCCAATCATTAATTAATGTAGTCTTACAACATTCCTCTGTAGTAGGTAAACATAATTACCCCTAAGTACTGAAACTGAGCCACAGTTTGATAAAATGATGTAGTCAGTGTTACATCGGAAGTCTGTCCCTGATTAAGTCTTATTACTAAACAAAAGTTTTGAAACTTTTCCTGAAAGGACCTTTTCTCTTGTTGTGCCAAGACAGTCAAGTACAATTCCTGCTGGAGGCAGAGTTTGGCCATTAGTAATCAATGTTTTCCATTGTTCCATAAATAAAATATCCTTGACGTACAAGAGCTTTGTGAAAACCAGATATGAATGTTTAATGATTTATTTTCTTTCTGGCAATGCTCTGGACCTGGGGCCCAATCTTGCTTACCCAGAAGTCAGTGCAAGTTTTGCTTGAGTAAGGATTGCCAGAGTAGGCCCAGTATTTTTTTTTTCTCCTAGTATATCATTGAGGATTGCCACTGGCAGCCGCTCATGGACTTCTGGGTCTCATACTCCAGGGGTTAAGAAACACCACTCTAGAAAACTCCTCCCTACTTCACGATCTGCTTTTTAAAGGAATGTGAGATGATCGTGAAAGACAGAATGGAGATTTTGGGGGAAAAGGTAACTATTTCTCTTGTGTCACAACCATAGCTGAGGTCTGTGTCTGACACTGTTTTCATCTCACTTGCAACTGGGTGATGATGGCTTGCAGAACTGTCAGTATGTTCTCTGGTAGTCTGCACTAATTGGCTCAATGACTGACTAGTTAGACAGGTCAGCAGGGACTTATAGCTTTGGTCAGGACATTCTGCATCGACAGAATGACCTGATGATTGATTTTGTGTGCTGACATCCAAGAGGATGTCCCTCCACTTTTCCCCAGAGGTGTCTTTTTGCGTCTATTCTCTCTTGTTGTAAAATTGGGCCACCAGCAAGGGTTCTAGACATGCACTTACCCTGACCCCCTGGCAGAGTTATCTGTAATGGTTGTAGTGGGCAAAGCAAGAAATGCTAATGTCTGATCAATATGTCTGCTCGCTGTAACGGGTATAGAACATATATAATGAATGCAGATAAATTAATGATATGTGTTTGT